TCTCTCTTTGCTTAGAGTACCCCTTTCAATATTTCTTGTAGGGCTGGTTTCATGTTTGCAAATTCCTTTAGTTTTTGTTTGTCCTGGAAGCTTTTTATCTCTCCTTCTATTTTCTATGACAGCCTAGCTGGATATAATATTCTTGGCTGCATATTTTTCTCATTTAGTGCTCTGAATATATCATGCCAGTCCTTTCTGGTCTTCTAGGTCTCTGTGGATAGGTCTGTTGCCAGTCTAATATTTCTACCTTTGGAGGTTACAGATCTCTTCTCCTGAGCTGCTTTCAGGATTTTCTCTGTGTGTCTGAGACTCGTAAGTTTTACTATTAGATGTTGGGGTGTTGACCCATTTTTATTGATTTTGAGGGGGGTTCTCTGTGCCTCCTGGATTTTGATGCCTGTTTCCTTTCTCAAATTAGGGAAGTTCTCTGCTATAATTTGCTCCAATATACCTTTGGCCCCCCTCTCTCTTTCTTCTTCTTCTGGGATCCCAATTATTCTAATATTGTTTCATCTTATGGTATCACTTATCTCTCGAATTCTGCCCTCATGATCCAGTAGTTGTTTATATCTTTTTCTCAGCTTCTTTATTTTCCATCATTTGGTGTTCTGTATCACTAATTCTCTCTTCTGCCTCATTTATCCTAGCAGTTAGAGCCTCCATTTTTTATTGTACCTCATTAATATCCTTTTTGATTTCGACTTGGTTAGATTTTAATTCTTTTATTTCTCCAGAAAGGGTTTCTCTAATATCTTCCATGCTTTTTTCAAGGCCAGCTAGTATCTTTAAAATCGTCATTCTGAACTTTAGTTCGGACATCTTACTAATACTTACATCTGTCCGTATTGATTAAATCCCTGGCAGTAGGTACTGCCTCTTGTTCTTTTTTTGAGGTGAATTTTTCCATCTTGTCATTTTGTCCAGAGGAGAATAGATGAATGAGAGAACAAAATGCTAACAGGGTAACAATGTCCCCAGAAAATATACACTAAACAATTCAGAAGAGACTGAAACCGGGGGAAAAGAGAAAGAACGAAAGAAAAAAGAAAAAGATAAAAAGAAACAATAACAACAAAAAAAATAAAACTGAATATGATCAAATATGATCAGGCTGGTGCATAGATTAGTGCCACACACTAGATTTTGGGCGTATTTTGGTCTGTTAGAAGAAAGTGCCTCCCAAAATTTTAAAGAAAGAAAAACTTATATATGTACAAAAATAAGGGTTAATACGATGAAGGGATGGACTGTGAATGTAAAGATGAAAATTATAAAAGATTTTTAAGAAGGAATTGATAAGAAGCTGGTTGAAAAAAGAAGAGGATTTAAAAAAAAAAGGGAGAGAATGTGATCAGGCAGGAGACTAGAACAAAGCCATACACTAAAGATTTAGGGTATATTTTGGTCTGTTAGAAGAAACTGTATCCCAAAATATTAAAGAGAGAACAACTTGTGTATATATGTACCAAAATAAGGTTAACTACTATGAAGGGATAGAATATGACTCTAAAAATGAAAAATAAAAAAGATTTTTTTAAAAAAGGGATTGATAAGATGTTTGTTGAAAAAAGGAAGAGGAAAAATTTAAAAAAAAAAGAAAAAGTTAAAAAAAAATTAACTTTGAAAGACTAAAGAATCATGGGAAAAAAGCCATGAATTCTATGTGCATTATTCCCCTAGTGCTGGAGTTCTGCAATTCTCATTGATCTGTAAACTTGGTCTTGGCTGGCTATTCTTGCCAATCTTCTGGGGGAGGGGCCTGTTGCCGTGGTTCCCAAATGTCTTTGCTGGAGGCGGAATTGCCCGGCCCTTGGCTAAGTAATAGGCTCTGGTTTGCTCTTGGGAGCTTTTGTTCCCTGCAAGCTTTCCGTTCATCTTTGGAGGAGGAGAGTGAAATGGCGGCCTCCCAATCTCCGCCGGGGAGGCGCCGAGAACTCGGGGCCCCACTCCTCAGTGAGCCCCCAGAGAAAAGCAGTCAATTACTCTCGTCTCCCGGTCTCTGGCCGCACTCCGTGGTCACCTGGCCTATGACAAAGTGTTTCTATTTCTGGCACACGACCCCGTGTGGAGTCTCCAAACCCAACAGATCCCTGCGGTGCGCTCCTGCACCGCTCCTCCTGGGGGAGGAGGGGGAGTCTCCCTAGATCTGCCACTTGTTGGGTCCCTGCTGGAAGAGCAGTGGCCCTACTGTGCTGAGGTTCATGGTTTATGGCAACCCGGAGCTGAGAGCCCGCTCCTCCACTCCGTCTCTGCAACCGGCTTCCCCGCTCCGATACCTGGAGCTCTGCTGTACTCAGGCACCTCCGGTCTTTCTGTGACCCCGAGGGTCCTGAGACCACACTGTCCCGTGACAGTTCCACCCCTTGCTTAGTCACTGGAGCGACGTCCCTCAGCGGAGCTGAATGGTAAATGTTTTGATTTTGTGCTCCACGGCTCTATCACTTGCCGGTATCGGCTGACACAGGCCCCCTTCCCCACCGTCTGTCCTTCCGGATATCGCCTCAGATTCACTTCTCCGCACGTCCGACCTTCCAGAAAGTGGTCGCTTTTCTGTTCAGAGAGTTGCTGCTATCTTTTTCTTCGATCTCCTGTTTAGTTCGTAAGTGGTCAGAATGGTTTGATCCCTATCCAGCTGAATTCCTGGGACCAGACGAAATTAGTAGGTCTCCTACTCCTCCGCCACCTTGCTCCTCCCCCGATGGATTCCTTTTATTTAGGGGTGGCGTGAATATTTAGATAGGGAAACCTTGTTTTTTTAAGTAGAGGCAGGCATAAGGTCGTGCATGTGCCATTAAGGAAACATGGCTATACACACATTATGTAAATGTAGCTGAGGCTCCTCCTGGGATAGAGATTTTAGTATTATAATGGGATAAAGGTAGTTGATCATTTTAGAGCTCACTCCATGGTCCATCTGTGCAGACCCAAGTCAGGGGTTAAATTTAAACAGGTCTGGCTGGTCTGGGCCGGCTGGAGGTCTTGCCAGGACAGTTGTTATGGCTCAAGTTGTTTTGCTTTCTGTTTGCGGAAGAGAGAAGCTGGAAAGATGAGCTGTAGCAAAAATGTGGAACAAAGGTTGGTGAGTACAAGGAGGTGGGCTGTAAAGGTCAGGTCTTGGGACCTAGCTGGTGACAGTACTATGTATCTTCTGGTAACATCAGACCATGAAGTGTCTTATAAAAAATTGGATATGAATCAGATTAAGTGTTTAGATTCAATTACCAATTTCTCAAGAAGTGGGGAAGAAAGATTAATTTGTTAATCTATACCATTAGGAATGTAATCAGCAAAATCCAGATTATAGGAAACTTTAGAAGATTAATTGTAGTGTCTAGGGATGGCTTATCATTTGGATGATAGAACTATAAATTAAATGATGCCATAAAAGTCAGGACAGTTGTTACTCTGAAGAGGGAGTGGTTTTGATTGGGAAAAACATGTGGAAGGCTTCTGGAATACTGACAAGACTCTCTCTGCTTAAATGGGTGTTATGTACAAGGGTGATTGCCTTATAAAATTTCATTAAGCTGTACATTGGTTGTATGTGGTTCTCTTTATTTGAGTTACATTTAACAATACTAAAGTAAAACTTTTAAATGAGATTAAGACATTAAAATTTATTTTTAAGTTTAATTTTTAGTTCCTTGTTAGACTTTCATAGGGAATGGGAGATGGGTGTTAAAGACTTCAGTTGAGTCTAAAAAACAGAATTGCAAACAGCAACTCAAAGAATTATAACTTGGATGTTTGAACTTAAAAAAAAATCAAGTACATTTCACATGAAAGGACTGCTCAGCATTAGTCACTCACTAAAACCATTTCTAATACAGGCTCTCATCTTCACACTGTGAATATGTAGTAAGCGGATTATATACTGAAAGTGCCTGTTTACACATGCTTCATGTTTTTCTAGGTGCTTTTACATATATTATTTAATAAAAAACTAAATGAATCTATGAGTGGAATTGATAATGCTACTTAAATTCTCTGTATATAAAAGAGTGAATGCTTTAATTACAAAATATTTAGGAATATGTAATATAAGAATGAATCTACCTTTATTATAGATGTCAATACATTGTTTAAAGTAATTTCTCCCTTATTTATAAGATTCCTAACTTTTTTTTCTTTTTTTTTATTCTTATGTTAATCCCCATACATTACACCATTAGTTTTAGATGAAGTGTTCCACAATTCATTGTTTGTGCATAACACCCAGTGCTCCATGCAGAATGTGCCCTCCTCAATACCCAGCACCAGGCCAACCCATCCTCCCACCTCCCTCCCCTCTAGAACCCTGTTTGTTTTTCAGAGTCCATCGTCTCTCATGGTTCGTCTACCCCTTCGATTTCCCCCACTTCATTCCTCCCCTCCCGCTACCTTTTTCTTCTTCTTCCCTCCTTCTTAACATATATTGCATTATTTGTCTCAGAGGCACAGATCCAAGATTCAACAGTCTTGCACAATTCACAGCGCTTACCAGAGCACATACCCTCCCCAGTGTCTATCACCCAGTCACCCCATCCCTCCCACCCCACCCCCCACTCCAACAACACTCAGTTTGTTTCCTGCGATTAAGAATTCCTCATATCAGTGAGATCATATGATACATGTCTTTCTCTGTTTGACTTATTTCACTCAACATAATACCCTCCAGTTCCATCCACGTCGTTGCAAATGGCAAGATCTCATTCCTTTTGATGGCTGCATAATATTCCATTGTATATATATACCACATCTTCTTTATCCATTCATCTGTCGATGGACATCTTGGCTCTTTCCACAGTTTGGTTATTGTGGACATTGCTGCTATAAATATCAGGGTGCACGTACCCCTTCGGATCCCTACTTTTGCATAAGATTCCTAACTTTTATTTAAGGAAATAATTTTCACTAGTTTGATAAAAATGGAGGTGTATTAAACTGATTTGAAAAAATTTCAAAAGTTCATGATATTTTGGCAAGTCTGAAGTAAATTAAAACTCATTTTTTTCTGTCAGAGGTCTCTTCATTAGTATCCATGATCGAGGGCATATTGCTTCAGTTCTTAATGCATGGCCAGAAGATGTCATCAAGGTAAGTCATCTGATTTTTCCACTATGGCAAATTTGTTCTTTTTCCTATTCCGTAACATATTGATAATTTTCATGGTATGAGATAGCATTTGATGTGGAAATGTTGGAGTTCGGAGCTGATGGCCAAGAAAGAATTCTTAAGACCTTTCTGGTGCTAAAAGCCTGGGGACAGGACCTGTGAGCAGAAAGGACTGACCAGGGATTGTGAGGAGCAATTGATTATATACTAGGAGTTGGGGGAGGTAAAGACAAGGGAAGTTTCCAAAAGGATTTTCATATGCTAAAAAAGACTCACAGGAACCTGGAGGCCTGGCTATTGTCAGGCTAAGGTTGTTTTTTCCTCTAGCAAGGCATTAACATTAAGATTGGGAGTTCCTGGGGAAATGTCATACTCTGCCTGCCTCAAATATTTGTCAATGGGCTGCAGGTTGTAAGGACATTTAATTTTATCTACCTTTCCTTTTTGCCTTTGTTCTTCACATCAGCATTCACTATCTTTTCTAGTGAATGTCACCTAATTTATATCTCTTCGATTTTTACATACTGGATTAATTTTATTTTGGTACTGTTTAGAGACTCACTATCCCTGTTATTTCTGTCTGCTTTCTTAGTATTTCTTGACCCATTGATGATAAATGTTGAGTAAATGTTGAAGTTGCCTCTGAATTTCTTTAAGCAAAGTCCCTTTTCACATTTGTTGGGTATAATCATCCACTAAAAGGAACACAGGCAGACAAAAAAAAAATCCCTTCATTCCCTTCCTTTATCATTATGACCTTCAGTAGTTCATCTGACTCCCCTCTCTGAGTGATCTAATGAAAATAAAATAAGGATAGTATCCAACATTTAGTAGCCTTCTGTGTGGGACACTCACTACCTGGATTGACTCTTGTTAATTATCATGATAATTCAGTGAGGAAAGGAAGGAGGGACAGGCTACACAGTAGTGCCTGGTGGTGATGGGAACTGAACACAGGCTGCAGAGCCCTTGCTCTTAAGCATGTTCTCTATGGCCTTCCTTGTCGAAGGAAAGTGAGATGTACTTGTCTCTTCGCTGGCTCCTTTTTTTTTTTTTAAACTTTCTGTTAAGTGCCAAGCAACTTTGTTATGTTGATGTAGGAAAGACGTTAGGGTTCAAAGCCGACAGCCAAGAAAGAATTTTGAGAGGTCTTTGGTGCAAAAAGGTGGTTTTATTAAAGCCCAAGGACAGGACCCGTGGGCAGAAGGAGCTGTAACCCGGTCATGAGGAGTGACAATTGTATACTTTCAGGTTGAGAGGGGGTTAGGGATAGTGTAAGTCTGTAAGCAGTTTTGGAAGCAAGGTTTCCCGGACTTTGAGGGGGCTAGCTGTTGTTGGGAAAAGGTCATTTATTACCGTCTAATAAAACCTTAGTCATGAGACCCTTCAGATGTATATCGGTGGGCCACGTGCTTGGGAGATGATTGCCAACATGTATCTTGGGGGTTTTAGAGATGAAGTTTCCAAAGGCATTTTTATATGTTAAAGTAGACTTACAGGATCCTGGTGGCCAGGAGCTGGGGGTGGGGGGTCAGGCTAGGATTGCCTTTTGCCGTCAGCAAAGTATTAACATCGAGGCATTCGAGTTCCTAGAGGAATGTCACTCTGCCTGTTTCAAGGACTTATCAATGGGCTGTAGGTAGTAAGGGAATTTAATAATTTTTCTTCTGCCTTTGTTTCCCACATCACTGTGTTTTAGGAGTAAGGCTGAACAAACTGATGCCTTTTAGGGGTACAGAGGCACTTCAGCTATGACTCCTGAAGCATTGCTCCCTTTCTTTTGAGCAGTCATGCTAGAATTGATTCACTCTGCTCTGTAAGGCTTATGCCAGGCAAACTTGTAAAGCAAAATGTTTTTCATGATTTCCAATCTTTCCAATTTTTTTACTTTTCTTACCAAACTTGCTTCCTCAACTTTTCTCCCACAGGGTAGACTGAATCCTTGGATGCTATCCTCAGTGTACCCTGAGTGTAACACTACTACAAAGTGTGTTAATTCTGTGAAGTGTAAAATGTCTGAGAAGGACGCTTACATTTTAACTGGAATCTAGAGAGGATTTTAAGAGTGAGTCAGTAAAGGAAATAGTTCTGGGGTAGAGAGGACTAATTAATATCCACATAATCATAATAGCTAGGCAGTACACAGTCACCTTGCTTTGTGTTCTTCCTACTAGCTCATCTCTGAATATTTATCTTCATTAGTAGCCTATCTTTATTCTTTTAACTTTTAAAATTGGGCCCTCACTGATATTGCTGATCCTAACTATACTATTATTTTAAAAGCCTAGTATAGTATCTGGCACATGCTAGGCACTTAAATGGCAGCTGTTTATTGTAATAGAGTATTGAAGAGTAAGATATGGTCTCTACTGTGTAGTTGCAAGCATGCATGAAACAAAGGCAATCAATTATTAGACAATATATCAATGAACTGGTGTAAATTATAAATGCCGTATTCACTCAGAGGAGACGATCATTCAGAGAAGGCTGAAACAGGTAAGAAATTTTTGTACCAAAGTTGGTCTTTAAAGTTAGCCTTTGAAAATTAGAAAGGGAAGAAGATATTATCTGAAGAAGGGAACAGATGAATGTAAGACTCTAGTTCCAGAAGAGAATGGCGTGGTTTTGTGCCATAAGTGAATTAATTGGCTGGCCTAACTAAAGCTAAGTGTTAATATGGAAATAGTGGGATTAAGATGGCTTAAGTAAGAAGTGCTCAAATTATTATGAAAGGTCTTGAAATTCATCAAGAGGGATTTAGACTTGAAATAATAGAAGGTCATATTTACAGACAGAAATGACTTCATGTAAGTAATATTTGAGGAAGGCTTCTGAGACAAAGGGGAAGAGGCAAGAGTTGTGCATCCAGGTGTAGGCCACAGCAGAAAGGCCCTGGGGAAGGAAAAGAAGGAATGAAGACAGGACACACAGTGAGGGTGTCTGTGTGTGCTCAGGAGAACCCCTGCATACTTCATGCAGAGTTACTAGTCAGCTAATGCCCAGGTAATAATTGACACAGTAGCATGAAGATGAAATTTCTGAGATGCAGATATCATTGAGAGAAGTATGGTTGTCCTACTGAGATAATCCTCCTCTTGTAACTTCATTATTGTGTAGAAGACATCCAGATGCTTTATTTTCCTTAAGCAGGAGATGAAGTAGGTAAAAACAAAAGCCGAGGGAATGTCACTTTAATGATAAACTATGTAGATCGCACATTTTTTGTTTTTCAGAGGATTCCTTCACTATTAAAATCTACACTTTAATGTTGAGATGTTTGTGAATTAATGCTACAAATGTACATTTGTAACAAGGCATACACAGATAAAATAGCAAATGCCTCAAAACAGAGTTTAAAAATTACTAGAGGGGCCCGGGTGGCTCAGTTGGTTGAGCATCCAACTCTTGATTTCAGCTCAGGTCATGATGCTCTCGGGGTCCTGAGATTGAGTCCCATGTTGGGCTCCATGCTGGGTGTGGAGCCTGCTTGGGATTCTCTCTCTCTCCCTCTGCCGCTCCCCTCCTCATGCTCCCTCTTTCTCTCTCTCTCTCAAATAAATAAGCAAATCTTTAAAAAAAAATTACTCAAATAACTACCACCTATATAAATGTCCATGGCATATTTATATAATAAAATTAATAGCTCAGGATGAGAGGAGAGCTTAGGGAATAAAGCTTATGAAGAACTGAAGAAAAATAACACTTTTCCTTGACTTCATATACAAGAAATAGATTTAGTTTAACTTAGATGTATATGTATACATATACAAGAAATAGATTTAGTTTAACTTAGATGTGTTATAAAAAATAAGTGAAATGTTATTTTCAACTCCTTTTTCAAAAATGTTGAAACAGGTGAAAATCACAATTAGCAACTCCCTGGGAAAAGTATACATTGTCAGTGATAGATAAAAGTACCTCTGTGATAGCATGATAAATAGAACAATGTCAAAAATGTGTGTGCAGTATTTGGACTTTGACAATTTGGTTTTAATTTAAAAAGCAAAGTTACAATTTTCTGTAGTATTTATCTTTCTTATCTTAAATCAGAGCCAACTAAACCAGTGGTATCAAGTTGCCTTCTTCAAAACAGCATAACCTATTGACCCTTTGCAATTAGACATGGAAAATTTGACAGAGGTCAGCTTTATGGGGTATGCAAAAATCATTTTCACCCACTTCTCAAATGTATTTTATTTTTAAGGCAGTTCTTTAGGAGCTGCATAATATAGGTGAACAGAAAATTAAAAAGATCTTGGGCACCTGGGTAGCTCAGTTGGTTAAGCGACTGCCTTCGGCTCAGGTCATGATCCTGGAGTCCCGGGATCGAGTCCCACATCAGGCTCCCTGCTCAGCAGGGAGTCTGCTTCTCCCTCTGACCCTCCCCCCTCTCATGCTCTCTCTCTCTATCTCATTGTCTCTCTCAAATGAATAAAATCTTTAAAAAAAAAAGAGAAAATTAAAAAGATCTCAAAAGTATACTTTAAAATATGTTCCACACTATGATATAGTGGAAAAGCATTGTACTAGGAGTTAACGTACCCAGTTTCCCATTCTTTGGTATTAACCAGGTCAACCACCTTAGGCAGATGATTTCAGTTCTCTGATCTTCAGTTTCCTAATCTATAAAATAAGAGGGAAGGACTGAATATACTCTAAATTCCCCTTCTGATATACCATGACTCTGCATAATGCTCTTGATGGTAATAGTAGTCTTGATAGCTACAATTTGTTGAGAATTTGCGATGTACCAGATATTATGTATGGTAAGTACTTTGTGTATCATGTTCTCATTTTATTGAATCACAGATTTATTCAATTAACTAATGTTTATTCATTGTTTACTATGTGCCAAATGCTGTGCATGGTGTTGGTGTACAGTAGTGAACAAAAGAGTTGGTTCCTATTTTTATGCAGCTCTTCTGAAAAGTACCTTTATTATTCCCGTTTTACAAATAAGAAACCGAAGATTTAATTCATCTGTTTAAGGTCAAATGACTGACATTTTCCCAAGACTGCATGGAAGCAATGAGTGTAGGAATTTAGAGAAAATCTAATAAATTGTGTTTCACAAGATTGGTTTTGCTTAAATATAATGGCCATGAATCACAGAACAAGGATGTTAGATGTGTTAATTTTGTACAGATATCAAATAAAATAGAAATAAAATCTCCTCATGATTAAAATGGATGGCTCATAGATATTCAGGGTGATTGGAAAGAAACTAAACAAAATTCATTAAGCCTAGTGGAAGATTATCAGGTAAGAGAAGTAGCAGACTGTATGTACTCTGTATATTTCAGAAATGGTAGAAAAATATCCAGTGGTTGTAGGAGTTAAAGAGGATGGATCAACATTGCTGTGAAAATAGGAGGATGGTGCCAAGATGCATAAACTAAACATCAAAGCATTTGGGGGCTACTTAACAATTATGCATTATTTAACAAGGGCACTCCCAAAATTATGCTCAAAGTGTATGGGACTGGTTTCACTTTAGTTCCCACTTTTAGCTCCTGATTCCCTGTACTCTTCCCACTTGCCCCAAAGACATTTGAATCTTTATGTGTGTACCGTCTCTTCTTTCTTCACTGACCAAAGTAATCATATATCTGTATTTTTAAAAAATCATTTAAAAATATATATCAACTTTATTTCTTCTCTCCAATCATCCACACTTAAGATCATATGAAATCTCTTAGATGTATATTCAATTTATATTTTTTGACAGCTTAATATTCTATCACGTAAGTATTAACTTCAGAAGCAGAGACAAGGAACTGTGCCCCTGGATTTGTAAACATCTATTAGGAGGCACTTTTTTTTCTCTTCTAGGCTATTGTGGTGACCGACGGAGAGCGTATTCTTGGCTTGGGAGACCTTGGCTGTAATGGAATGGGCATCCCTGTGGGTAAGCTGGCGCTGTATACAGCCTGCGGAGGGATGAATCCTCAAGAATGTCTGCCCATTACTCTGGACGTGGGAACAGAAAATAAGGTAAACAATTTAGGTCTGTAAGACAGCTGTACACCTTAAAAAATAGCACCAGCTCTTATATTTTGAGCTTTTTTCCAGAACTTCATGACATGCATTCTTTTCTGTCTGGTTCTTCCTCCCTCCTCAAACTCATCCCCCAACTATTACAAGAAGTTTATTCTTTCTCTTTTCCTTTTTTCTTCCCCTTTTCTATAATGTGATCGATCTTTTACCAGCATGTTTAGTGCTTTATTCTTTGATGAACATTCACACCATCAGTCTATAGAGTGTATATTTTACTTCGGAAGATCATAGTTTCTTTTCAAAATTACTGTTTTGGTACTATGTAGGAACTAATCCCAAAGGACTAAGTTTAATCACTATGAAATCTTGTTCTAAAAGTCTGTTTTAAACCTGTGGTAGATGATTTGGGATTTATTTTTATTTTTAATTTAATTAAAAAAATTTTTTTTATTAACATATAATGTATTATTTGTTTCAGGGGTACAGGTCTGTGATTCATCAGTCTTACACAATTCACAGCACTCACCATAGTACATACCCTCCCCAATGTCTCATCACCCAGCCACCCCATCCCCCTCACCCCCTTCCACTCCAGCAACCCTCAGTTTGTTTCCTGAGATTAAGAATCTCTTATGGTTTGTCTCTCTCTGGTTTTGTCTTGTTTGATTTTTCCCTCCTTTCCCATATGATCCTCTGTCTTGTATCTCAAATTCCTCATATCAGTGAGATCATATGGTAATTGTCTTTCTCTGATTGACTTATTTTGCTTAGCATAACACCCTCTAGTTCCATCCACGTCATTGCAAATGGCAAGATTTCATTTTTTTGATGGCTGCATAATATTCCATTGTGTATATATATATATATATATATATATATATACACCACATCTTCTTTATCCATTCATCTGTTGATGGACATCTAGGCTCTTTCTATAGTTTGGCTATTGTGGACATTGCTGCTATAAACGTTAGAGTGCACGTGCCCCTTTGGATCACTACATTTTTATCCTTGGAGTAATTACCCAGTAGTGCAATTGCTGGGTTGTAAGGTAGCTCTATTTTCAACTTTTTGAGGAACCTCCATACTGTTTTCCAGAGTGGCTGCACAAGCTTGCATTCCCACCAACAGTGTAGGATCCTTTCTCTGCATCCTTGCCTTTCTCCGCGTCTTTGCCAACATCTGTTGTTTCCTGACTTGTTAATTTTAGCCATTCTGACTGGTGTGAGGTGGTATCTCATGAGGTTTTGATTTGGATTTCCCTGATGCCAAGTGATGTTGAATACTTTTTCATGTGTCTGTTGGACATTTGGATGTCTTCTTTGCAGAAATATCTGTTCATGTCTTCTGCGCATTTCTTGATTGGATTATTTGTTCTTTGGGTGTTGAGTTTGATAAGTTCTTTATAGATTTTGGATACTAGCCCTTTATCTGATGTATTTTTTATTTTTTATATATTTTTAAAGGTTTATTTATTATTTTAGAGAGAGCTCTGGGGGAGGGGCAAAGGGAGAGGGAGACAAGCAGACTCCCTGCTGAGCGGGGAGCTGGACACAGGACTCGATCCCAGGACCCTGGGATCCTGACCTGAACCCAAATCAAGAGTTGGATGCCTCGCCGACTAAGCCACTCAGGTGCCCCTGATGATTTGGAATTTATTGTTTCTCATTCCTGCATCAGTATTTTAGAATCTTAAAGTTGTATATCAGTACATATTTTTGCTCATCCTTTATTGCTAATATTTAGGTTCGGTTATGGTGATAGATACAGAAATTAAAGGTAAAATATGTAGTTTTTATAGTCTTTGGTTCCCTTCTAAAGCAATTGACCCATTAATAGTATAATATTAACTTGAACAGTTTTGATATTCATTAATAAAGAAAGTTATAATACTTGACTTCCTATGTATGTGAGTGCTCATTTAACCTTTATAAAGGAAACATTTTGATAAAAGCACACTGCTTATCCAATATTTTCTTTTTCAATACTAATAGAAATGACTTAGAAATTATCAAAGCTGACCTCTTAGAACAGTCACCCAAAAATTATGTATATACATTGAACATTAAGATTTTCTCTTTATTTTTTTGTATATTTAAAAAACATTCTTCTGTGGTAAATGACAGTGACATCAAATAAAGTTTAAAATTATAAAATCTGGGGGCGCCTGGTGGCTCAGTCACTTAAGCATCTGCCTTCGGCTCAGGTCATGATCCTGGAGTCCCAGGATTAAGCCCCGCATCGGGCTCCCCGCTAGTGGGGAGTCTGCTCCTCCCTCTCCCTCTGCCACTCTCCCTACTCATGTTCTTTTGCTTGTGCGCTCTCTCTCTCTCAAATAAGTAAATAAATAAAATCTTTAAAATTACAAAATCTGAGGAACATCTTAAGAATTTTAGGGAGAGATGAAGAGGAGTGAGGAGTGATGAGAAAGGCATGCAAAGATATTAAGAATTCAGTTTTAAATTTGGGTTTTTGTTTTGTTTTTTAAAGATTTTATTATTATTATTATTATTTTTTAAAGATTTATTTATTTGAGAGAGCGAGAATGAGAGAGAGAGTACATGAGAGGGGGGAGGGTCAGAGGGAGAAGCAGGCTCCTCGCTGAGCAGGGAGCCTGATGCGGGACTCGATCCCAGGACTCCGGGATCATGACCTGAGCCGAAGGCAGTCGCTTACCCAACTGAGCCACCCAGGTGCCCAGATGTTATTATTTTTTAAAGTAATCTCCGCACCTGGCGTGGAGTTCCAACCCACAACCCTGAGATCAAGAGTTACATGCTCCACTGACTAAGCCAGCCAGGCACCCCTAAACTTGGGTCTTTTACTGAGATGTCAGCGTAATGTGGACATAAAGTTATGCACTAATGATTACACCATAACACTAGGATTCTTGCACTGATAGATAGTTTTAGTTTTAAGAAATACTTTATTTCATGAAAATAGGTCTTAAAATTTTCAAATTGGCCAGTTGTCTTGAGTTTTCTCACATTATCTGCTAGTATTCCTAGTATTGCTTTCCTCTTTTGGCATCCAGTGCTTTTATGTTATTCCGTTTCTGTCCAGTGTCCTACCCCCCTCAGCCTACAGAATCCATATCCACTGATCTTTCATCAAATTTCTTACTTTGCTTTGCTGTAGATCTTGCTTTCTTTTGCCCTTCTCTCATTAAACATGGCCTGGTGCTTACTACATTTGAAAGATTTTCAAGTTACTAAATTAGAAAATAATCTGATAATTTAAATGAATCTGTTATTAAAATGCTGTGTGTTATTTCTAGAGATTTTTTACTTATTGCTAGTGGACTTTTGGAGATATTAGGGAAAAAATGAATAGTAGAATTTTAACTCTTTGACAGGTCACTGAGAATATCTTTTTAGCTTGAGAGACCTTTCCAAAACTCTTCAAATTCCATTATATAGATTCACTTGAATTAGACAAATATTGAGCACCTACTATCTGTTAAGGCCTAAGCAAAACCTAGGTAATAAGAGAGTTAATAATTTAAGATCTTGCCAGCAAGATGTTCTGAAGCTAAAAAAGGAGATACATGTGTAACTAGTTTCAAAATATATTAAATGTTTAGATAAGGACATTTGGCAAACTATTAGGGACAGTCAGCAAACCATTTCTCTCCTAGTTATAATATATTGTTAGTCTCTATATTACTGTTATCTGCTTATAACTCCCATTTTTCTATAAATCATATTTAGTAATGGTGAAAATGTATATTAATATGTGATCAGCTAGAGTTCATATTTTAAAAAGAGTAAATTATTTGTTCCTTTTAAAAAGATAACTTAGTTGTATGTGGAGTTAGCCGGACTACACAGTCCCCACATCTGTCTTTACTTCTGACACCAACTGCAGGTTTGGCGGGGAGATTCCCCAAAGGTGATTCTCAGGCTTGATAATTCACTAAAAGGACTCACAGATCTCAATGAAAGCTATTATAATCACAGTTATGGTGCATTATAGGGACAGGATACAGATTAAAATCAGCAAAAGGAAGAGAGGCATAGGGGAGAGTCTCAGAGGGTTCCAAGGGTGAAGCTTCTATTTCCTCTCTGTGGAGTCAGGGGCAAGTTACCCTGTGGTGTTAATGTGTGGGGTTGATATGTACCCCCACAGTTCAGAGTTTCTATTGGGCTTCATGACCTAGGCATGATTGATTGATTGATTGTGCATGTGAACTCAGGTACCAATCTGACTGATTACATTTGAACCAAAGCCCCTCACCCTGGGTCACATGGTTAGTTTTACTGGCATGGCTAGCCTCCACCTTGTCACAATTAGTTGGGGCTCCTAGGCTGTTAGGTAAAATGATCAGGCTCTATCCAAAATGGTTGAATGCTCGTGAAACAGGTCATCAGATTTATGCAAGCATTAGACAGAAATATAAGAGACAAACACACAAAAGGGAAAATAGGTCTAAATTTTAATGTTAAATTAAATAGAATTCAGTTTTAAACTCCTATAAGATTATGAATTTGATCATTCAAGCTTTTAAGGAAATGTAGCTCCTGTACTCTATAAAATGTTCCAGAGCATATTAAAATTCACAGCTTCACATTTCATTTTATGAAAAGAACATAAGCTTGATATCCAAACCTGGTAAAAAAAAAAAAAATAGCACATAATAAGAAACTGCTAATTTGTCTCATGTTTACCCATGTTCCTACCTTTACCACATTATAGGTGTGTAATCTTGAAAAAGTTACTTAGCTCTTCTGTGCCTTAGTTTCCTCATGTAAAATGAGAACCTACCTTACAGAGTTGTCAAAATTTAATGCTCTTAGAGTGTTTATGATTGTGATTGGCATTTTGTAAGCACTTGGTAAATGTTAGCTTATATGAATATAGATGTAGAAGCAAAAATTCTTCATAAAATACTGGCAAACTGAATCTTGCAGCATACTTTTAATATCAAAAACTACTCAAACCATTAGCAACATCATAATTAATGGTGATGGAGGCATTCTTTTATTGTTTTTAAAAAA